TGCCCCTTATTTTCCTAAAGCTTGCTTCCTTCACCCTTGGTTGCAGAGCACATTATCTGCAAATCTGAGAACTAGGACTATAGAATCACTATTTCCCTGAGCAAAAGGCCCACTCTGTGAATGGTCTCAGGATCAGGGCAAGAAGGGAATTCCACAGAGGTTCGGGGTCACAATTACTGGAGGACAAAGCAATTTAGAAGGTGGACAGGTTATCCCAGTCCACCCTCCCCCCACGCATCATGGCTATACTGACTGCAGTGTCTGGCAGTAGAGGACAGCACTGAGATTTCACAAATTTGAAGCCCCACAGCCCACCATGTTTATTCATTGGCAGGGTTGGTTCCCTAGGACTGGGGTGACCAGATCACAGGGGAGGTACCCACCTCCCATTTTCCATCACTGCAGGGATCTGAAAAGCCAAAGAACAAGAGAGCCAAGAAGAAAAAAAAGAAAGAAATCATGAGTCAACGCCACCTACTGGAAGATAATAGGACTTCTTTGTTTCAATCTACTAGAAAAATGCCACTCATTCATAGATGCCTAGACAGAGGAAGGAATCCATCAAATACCAGGAATAACCAAGGTAGGGAGGCAGCTAAGGAAAAAAATAAAAATCTCCAGAAAATAAATTGAAAGACAAGGAAATATGTGATTTAAATGACAAAGACTTCAAGATCGAGAGGTTAGGAAGGAACCAAGATGGCGGCATAGGTAAACACCGGAGATTGCTGCCTCGCACAACCACTTCAAAAATACAACTAAAAGACGGAATGGACATTACCCAGAACCTGAAATTTCAAACGGAGATTTTTTGTTTGGGAGATGGATGAGTAAAACTTGGCCCCTAATGTCTTCTATTATAGGCTGAGGGCGCGATTGTTTACAATCGGGAGGGAGTCGCAGACTCTGAGCTCCAGATCCGGGCGAGTCGCTAGGGACTCAGACTCAAACGGGAGAAGCTGGGCTGTCTGGCCTCGGTCGGAACTTGAGGGCAGCTTTCTCTCCGAGGTTTGCAGTGGTTGCTGGGACTCTGAGAGGCAGAGCCTCTGGGGACGGGACTGAGAGCAGCGATAACTGCTCGCTTCGCCTGCCCTGTAGATCCCCTGGGACTTGCCCCGCCCAAGCGCTGCACAGAGGCATTTGCCGGATAGCCTCAGGCAAAGGCTAGATTAGCAGCTCCCTAGAGGACAGAAGTTCTCCCACTGCAGACACAGCTGATTCTGACAGCCCCTTGGCCTGGAGGTCAAATCCCCCCAAGTGTTACCTAAAACAATCCAGGCTTAACTACAACAAGACTTCACACAAAGACCACTAGGGGGTGCACCAAGAAAGCATAAAAAAATGCGGAGACAAAGAAACAGGACACAATTGTCAGAAATGGAGGATATAGAGCTCAAAACCACACTTTTACGGTCTTTCAATAATTTTCTAGAAACTGCTGATAAACTTAATGAGATCTACAAGAAATCTAATGAGACTCTTGATGTAATAAAGGACCAACTAGAAATTAAGCATACATTGAAATAAAGAATATTATACAGAATCCCAACAGCAGACTAGAGGATCGCAAGAAACAAGTCAACGA